ACAGGTCCCAGTTCCTTTCCTAAGAGCTATATGGATGTCATAGTCATTTTCTTTTTAGGTATCTAGAACATTATAATTGGGAGAAGTGGTTGGAGTACTTACCTCAACAGTCACCGGGTTTGGATTAGATGATTGTACCTGCTTAGGTTCAGAGAACGGCCATTTCTTTCTTGAATAAACCTTAAGATAATGATGGTTTATTTTCTGCGCTACAAGTGTGGAAGGCAGATCATTTTCTGTTGAAACATGAGGGACTGCAAGGGACTCAAATTGGACAGGAACATATGGGAATGGCTTGGACACGGGCAACTCAAGAAGGAAAGAGTCTTTATCCTTATCTTCCATGAATGATATCTTCCCCTGAAGATAAGGATCGCAAAAGTATTGATCATCCTCAACGAAAGTGACATCGATAGAGACGTGAAATTTTCGTGTGGGAGGATGATAGACTTATAGCCTTTTTGAGTAGACAAGTAACCAACAAAGACACATTTGAGAGCCCTTAGATCGAGCTTGCCCCTATGTTAAGATTGGACATGAACAAATGCAACACAACCAAATATTTTGGGAACTAGATTGTTAGTGACATTGAAATTGGGATAGAACTTTGCAAAGACTTGTGCAAGACTTTGAAAATCAAGCACCCTCGAGGGAAGTCTATTTATAATGTGAGCTGCAGTGAACACGGCTTCTCCCCAATAAGTTTTTAGAACTTGTTTTTGGAAAAGAAAGGCTCGAGTAACTACTAAAAGAGTTTTTTAACACATTTGAAACACAAGGCTCATATCCGATTTGTTTTTTAACAGAAAAATCCACGTCATACGAGTGCAATCCTTAATGAAGGAAACAAACCAACGAGCCCAAGAAATGTTGGGTACAATAGAAGGCCCCCAAATGTTGCTATGAATAAGAGTGAATGGAATATATGTTCTTTTATTTCTTATTGGAAAAACAGAACGTTTGTGCTTTGCGAGTTCACACACACCACAATGAAAGCTTTGAACAGCAATTTTATTGAACAATGAAGGAAATAAAATCTTAAGAACATTAAATGATGGATGACCAAGACAGAGGTGATGAAGTCAGATCTTGTCTTTATTGGATTTTAGTGACTCGGTAAGGAATGACAAAGGGAAACAATTCTCAATTCTACGTTGTTCACTTGGTTTTTCAAGATAGTAGAGCCCATCTCTCTCCCTAGTATGTCTGATCATCTTCCTCGTATCCTGATCTTGAAATACACAATGAGAAGGATAAAAAATCACGCTGTAATTAGTATCATTGGTTAGTTTTTGGATAGATACAAGGTTGGTGAACAATTTTGGAACATGAAGGACATTTTTCAGTGTAAGTGAATCATTAGTAAAAATATCTCCTTGACCAGCAGCAGTAGTGACTAAACCATCAGCTATGGTGATTTTCTTATTACCGGGGCAGGATGTGTATGAGATAAATTTTGTGGAGGAAAAAGTCATATGGTCTGTGGCTCCTAAGTCAATGACCCATGTGTCAGGGGTAACATTATCCAAAGCATTAAGAGCTTGACAAGAAGATGATACACCTGAAAATGCTAGATTACAAGTACCTACGGAAGAAGATTGCTTCTCCAATGACCCCAGAAAATTCTTCAATTTCTCAATCTTATTTCTGTAGAATTCAAATTGTGTCTCTAAAATGTTGTTATCTTCTGTTGATTGCACTCCAGCCATAGGAGCTTGACCATGTCATCTTCCTTGTCTGTTTCTCCCCATTCCATTCTTGTTTGGGACTTGTGGCCTGTCGTGAAGTTTCCAACATTTCTCTTTGGTGTGACGGAATTTTTTGCAGTAGGTGCAACATAAATTGTCTCTGTTAAAAGATTTAGACTGACTTGACAGATTGTTGTCTTCAGTGGGTGGTGGATCTAGCATAGTACTCTTTCCGCTTGTTTTTGACACCAACGCTGAGTTTTCAACATAAATATTCTCAATCATAACTCCTCTCATTCCTTCTTCAGCACGGATTATTGAAATTGTCTCATTAAGAGATGGCAAATCTTCCTTGCCAAGGACTTGAACTCGTATCAAACTCAATATTAAGCCCGGCCAAAAAATTATAAATTCTATCCTTTTCAACAAACCTCTTAAGCGTAGCTGCACCTTCACTACACTTCATCAGGATGCATTGATAATGATCCTTCTCTTGACAATGACATTGCAAGAGATTAGTATACTTAGTAATTGTCCAATTTCCCTGTTTGGTGGCAGCAATCTTAATCTTGATCTCATCTATTTGTGCTGCGTCGCGAACCTTCGAATATGTTTGGTTGATGGCTTCCCAAATCTCCTTAGCGGTATTAAGGAACATACATGTGTCACTTATTTCTTGGGACATAGAGTTCCAAAGCATGGACATCACCATTGAGTCTTCTGTTAGATATTTTTCATCATTTTGCATGTGTTATCTTTTGTTTTGCGAATGTTTTGTCGCTCCTACTAGTGTTTGCCGCTACGCAACAGGGATCG